CCTCCAGCCTTCTCAGTCGGTAGAGCATGGGAAGTTGGAAAGTTCTTGACTAGTATAAACACTACCTAGCAACAACTGAAAACATCAATGTGTTATCAACATTGTTCTCATCCTAAATCCAAAACACAGCACTGTACCAGCTACTAGGAAGGAAATTAACTCTATCCCTGCCAAAACCAGGACAGACAGCTCAGGACATTTGTTTTCCTGTACTTGAGGTCATGAATGAAAACTTTGCATTAAGCTAATTCATAATTATTGTCTGTCTAGTATGTGTTTTCAAGGCTGTCCCCCATGGGTGCACCTCCCTTCCTCTTTATGCTCCTGTAGTTTCAGGCCCATGTGGAAAGCCTGCCCCTCTCATTACAGCAGTGACAGTAATGCAGTGATTCTGCATCCTTCTCTTCCCTATTTTTATGTAAATTTAAAACGCTGACTGCATTATCCTGCTGTCTGCATGTCTGAATAGAGTTATACTGACTGTCTTTGACTCATCCACTCTTTCTTCACTGTTTGCAATCATTTCCCAGTGTGTTCCCACTAAAAGCCATTTGAAGAATGGACTTTGTCTTGCGTGAAGAAACTAATGCCTTCAGAGCACTATAAAAATAGCACTGATCAATTAGTACGTGACAGACACATAGCTGCAGGCTTTGTTACCAGTTGGTACTCGGGTAACATGTAGGATGTGGAATTTGATTAGTCTTAAAAATAGTCCTAAAGGGATTAAGAAAAACAGTAGTAATTCATTGAAGATTTCCAAACATTTTCAAATTAATCTCCCCTACAGTTGTGTGATCTCATTCCTACTACTGATCCTGATCACGATTTCTACCGAGTGCCCATGTGAGCATCAGAGGGGCAAACTGGAGTGCAGAGAGTTAAGCTGTTTGTATTACATGAGCCATGTCTAAGCTGCAGGACCCAGAACCACTTGTCAGCTCCTGGCTGTTTCCTTGCTGTCTGGACACGAACTCTCTTCCTTCCCTTCCTAAGCCTTATGGAAAATAAACATCACACAAAGAGGAGGCCAGACTTTGTCTGTGTTCAGAAGAAAGTGACAGCACCTGACAGCACGACGTACCAGAGGAAATGCCTCTATCAAACACACTACAGGGGCTTGGGCCAGTATCATACCAGGAAGGACCGGGCAATCCACGGCAAGATGTCCCTGGCCTTCCTTCCGCTTTTATTTATGCAGTAACAAATCTAACTTAGCATTATATATGATATTGGTTACGGGGAGGTCATGCCACCAAGGTGGTTACTACAGCAGGTTTCCATGCCCCAGCTTCTTCCAGTCCTCCTCTGTGAAGGGTCTATGGTGAATATGTCCTCATCTCTCACTCTTGGGGCAGCCAAGTACGTTACTCTGCAGAGTTCTACCTGGGCTGCAGATATCCCGCAGCCTGACCTTGCTGATTTAAAACAAGCTTGGGTATTGCCACTGCCATCTGAAATGCGGACAGGGCCTGGGGGCAGGGACAAGGCAGGTCAGCCTGGAGGGCCTCCAGCCGTATGGCCGACCGGGGCAGTTCTGGCCACATGCCGAATTTCATTTCTTACCATGCCAGTCTGTTACAGCGGGAGCCCCAGCTGTGTTAGGGACCACACCTCTTGTTTATATGAACCAACTTTACCTCCAGGTAAGTAAATGATTATTTTTTACTGGGCTACTGTCTTTTATTCAGGAGCCTAAAGGCACTTTCAGTTACAGTCACTGTAGAAATAAGAAGCCAAACTGCAGAAGCTCTAGGGAGCACAGTTATTGCTTTGCTCTTGCACTGTCATGTCAGGGAGTATTCACATATTTTACATAGCAGACTTTAACTTGGGTGTATTGAGTTTTCTCTTGGAGGAGCCTGTCTCTGGCTACAAACTGTGTAAGTAACCCACAGAGACCATCCTCCCAACTTTGGTACTTCATTTAGGGGTTGGGAAGTTGTAAATACCTCTCCCCGCCACATAGGATTGCAACATGACCACGCTGAATCAGCCAAAAGAGAGGGCTCCTGCTGATTGAGGGGTGACATTACAGAATAGGCATCTGTCCCCTTTGCTTTGCACAGTCAACGGTATCGTAAAGAGAATTTGTAGGGCTTGGCTGTAAGCACTGGTACATCTCACAGGCATTTATATGGCTCACACTTTGTAATCTGTCAAATGATTTGTCCTGGCAGGACTTTTTTTTTTTTTAAGCTACTCCTGAAATCTGTGATATGTAACAGCGTTAACAGCCACAGGTGACAGCTGGTTACCTGGTCATTTATCCTTTCATATTGCAAAGTTTTTAAGCTTGGTCTCAGAAGACAAAATATTTTTCAAGGAGTCATAAGAAAAACCTGGGTTTTTATTTCCAAAGCAGCGAGGTAAGTGACAGACACAGTACAAAGCATTTCTGCTGCTGGACTCAAGTCACGGCCATGAGAAGCACAAAGCAACAACCATCCAGGCGATTCACAACCCTGCCGAGACAGCTTGCTGAGTCACAAATTCAAAGCATCAGTTTTCTAGCGTTTCAAGACACCAAGCTCAGCACTTGATGATGTGCATGGATGTCACTCTCACCTGAGAGAAGAGACTTTACCCACAGACCTGGCAGAGCTGAGCAAAACTGTATGTTTAATGTCATAGAAATGGTAGGGCTTAGCCTTCAAATGGGGGAAGCTCTTCTACAGCTGGTAATCAGTGTGATACTTTTAGTTGTACTACACAGAAGAATGATAAGGCATGAAGATGGGCTTTTATAGAAACTAGGCCATTTCAGCATTGTTTTAGAAATCAAAATACAGATTTTCAATGTAAAAAAATACATACAAAAGCTAAACATTATTTCATTTTTGCTGTCCTCACCTATCAACATGTATATTTTTACAACTGAATAAAAATAATTCATTGATTTGCCATTGGAAAGCTATTTCTCTGATATGAAATACAGGTTTTGCCTCACATCTCAGGGAGATTACCAGTCACATAGAACTGTGATTTTGGTTGATATATGAAAAAATAAGCAGCGAGAACACTTTAGGACTTGTTAATTCTAGTTCCAGGAAGACATGC